CGATTTGTTTGTTCTGGCTACGACTGTCGAGTTCTACAGACGGCGCCAACTGTTGATCCAAAAATCTGCCAAGGCACGGAGGACGACTTGGGAGGTCGGCTGGCAGCACTTGGAGTATTCTTCAGGGGTATCTGCAAAATAGGTAAGCCACTCTAACGTCCAAGTCAGTAATAATCCGAGCTCAACATATCAGAGTCAGATAGATTTTCATACCTTAGTGGGTGGAGTGAAGGTGTATTTGTAGCGGTCAATGAGGTAAATAGTTGTCTCATCAGGGTATAGCCCTACTCAAGCTAGATTCCCCCAAGTGACCTTCAGTCCCAGTCATGGACTGGTCCGTTCCTGCTCCACTAGGCGAGTCTGGATGCCATGTTTCTCACACTAAGTTGCCGCGACCGACCTGGTAGGTCGGTCGTTTGTGGAAACTGTGAACAGGTCGGCCGTCTTTGACCCCAACAAAGATTAAGTCTTACAATTAAAAAAAAAACTTAAAGAATTATTTGAAAAGTTGTTGGTGATCATAAATAATTCATAAAGAATGATTGAATAGAATAAAATTAAAATAAATATATCCGTATATAATTTTACCGTAAATAAAATACCTCGAAATGAGGCACATTAATTTGTTGTAAAATAAATCCTAGTTCGCTGCATTATCTTACTCCCCCTAAATTTTAATTTATGCATTAGAGAGTATTTGGTCGTGTTAAGGATCCCACATTGAACAGGAAAATGACCTTACAATAGTTTATAATAAATAGACATTGGTCATTCTGGTTTTGAGATGGAACCCATGAATGTTAATAAGTTGAGCTCGACATCGGTGTTAGTCTCGAGTCCACTTAGAGTCTTAGGATAGACATGACACCTGCCCCAGAAACGCGGATCAAAAATAGATAATATGAATATGTCCCTTTTCTAACTAAATGGCACAGAGGGAAAGGGAAAAAAGGGTCAGAATTGTCAAAAGAAAAAAAATGCTTAAAGACTAAGGGAAATCAGTATGCCAAAAATTCAGGTCGCCCCTTTCAGCCATCGATGAGGGGTTGATTTGAATGAAAGTTTTGAAATTTTGTCCCAATTTAATACACAACCAACCCCATTTGTATGTACGGATTTGACTTGTAAAAAAACGTAGTATTTGAAAATAGAGAAAGAAAACTAGAGGGATAAACCCACTACTTTCAAAGTAATTTCATTACGACTCGAATACTAAATTATATTAATGTCAGTTGCTTCTTAAGATTAACATCCAATCAGATGTACACTCGTCGAAATAGATCAGAATCATTACCATTTCTATAAAATGAGATTTGTAAAGAATTTTAGATCTGATGTCGAAGACCAAATTTTGATTCAAAAGAATATTAATCAAGAATATTTTAATGAAATTAATTAATTAAAACGTTAATAAGTTTAATAAAATTAATATATTAATGTAAACATAATTAATTAAAATGTAAATTAAAACATTGAAAGATTTATTTGGTCCAAAAAATTATAAGTCATAATAAAAATATATTTCTTATTTTTGTATAAGTAGAAGGAATCCATCCATCCGATCCAACGATAGTGTCACACGCATAAAAGAAGATGTCTTGGGCTTATCCCAAATATCTTTTACAAGTGCATTAAAAGGCTTTCCAACATAAACTCTTCCCTGTCAAAAACTTCCTACGCGAGACAAGTACAGCAAATTTTTGCTTTGTCATTCTCAACTACCATCAAATTTTTATTATATCTAACCATCAGTGTAAAACTGTAAGTTTTGGTGAAGTAAGTGTCTTGACCAATTGAACTATATTTATATAGGTGGTAAATCAACTAATAATATAGGTTAAGTGTAAAATCATAAGTTTCGGCCAATCACAGACAACCAACTTATTATTTTTAAATTAATGATGAAATTTATGTTATTAAATTTGGAGCCAACTACAAATTTATATGTGCATTAAATTACAATGAAAGACAAAAAATGACAAATCTCAAATAATGACATATATGTTTCATTAAGTCATCTCGATTTGATTTAATTGGTCAAATTGGGTCATATAAAAAAGTGGGCTCATAATCAAATTAGTCCAAAAATCAATTGATGGTAATTTGGTCTGAAGCCAAAAATACAATAAGACCATTGTAGTGGATCGATTGACCAATTTTGAATAAGTCTAAATTCACTAGAGAGATTAGGCCTGTGATCTAAATAGAGCCCAAATTTAATGGTTGGAAAGGAATTATCCGAGCTCAAACCTAATTAGATTAAATTGGATCTATGACTCAAATAAAGTCTAAGTATATAAATTGAGTTAGAGATGATAAATACTAGAGATTGTACCTAACATACAAAACTAAAATTTTAACTCTACTAAAGAGTTTAAAATTAAAAAAATAAATAAATAAATAAGTATATATATATATATATAACATTACCATGATGACAAGATTAGGTTAATATATAAAAATTGTGAGCTGTCTCTACATATCCCAAATGATTTTCTTTCTTTTTTTTTCTTCATCTTTTCTAAAAAAATTTAGAGATTAAATGCAGATTGCAATTCTCAGTTAGTTAAAATCTTTTGAAATTTTCACTTTCATTCTTTATCAAACTAATATAATATAAATATTATTATTTTATTTGATACATAGAAACTCAACCCCAATTAGAAAAATTTGACCTGTCCATCAACAAAACTCATTTATTCGAAGTGGCACGTTGGCATGTCCAAATATATTTTTTAGTATATACATAGTCTAAATATTTAAAAATATATATGTTTAATGATACATTTGCTTTTTTATTAATAAATTTTGTTTGGAGGCGAAAATGTCTTGGACACGTGGAGGACGCTTATTGGTGTTCAAGGATTAAAATGTCCCAGGTCCACCTCGAACCCGTGGAGGAGGTCGGGTTCGTCCATTGGAAAAAAGCTAAGTATACATGCCGAAGTTCGACCTGGTTGGGGTTCGATCTGCTCGGAACCTGACAGATCCGACATGAGGAAAAGAACATGTAACCGCTGGTCGTGAGTACTGTCGGATCCACCACCTATAAATAGAGGGCCTCATTTCACGCTCAGGTATCGAATCTCACCTCGAGCTAAATACAGAGTCCGACCTATACTGACTTGAGCGTCGGAGTGTTTACCCTCTTGTGCAGATCCACTCTTGAGTTCAGGTCGAGTCGGGGACCGGATTCGAGCTTGGTTCGTAAAGCATCGTTGTGCAGACCTTTGCATAAACAAATTTTAACATTTTTTAAAAGAAAAGTCTTAATTAAGAATTTTTTATACAATATGGGTAAAAGACTTAAGGCACAAATTGAGTATTATATTTAGCCAATTGAATACACTTAGAAGGACACCTAAAATTAAATGAGTTTTTTTCTTTTAATAAATGGAAATATTATGAAAAAAAAAAAGCAATAACAAGCAATAAATACTTCATAGAATGGGAGTATCCAATTAAATTTCCTTATAAAAAGGTTTTTTTTTGTTTAAATAAACATAATATAGCAATTTTACCATTGACTCTCTCCCCACCAAACAAAATGAAAGAAAAAAGACCGAAAGAAATAAACTAATTAAAGGTCCGTTTAGTAACATTTTTGTTTCTTCCTTTTTAATAAAAAAATAAAAGAATTAGATGGTCTCAACACCCATAGATTCAAGAATGATAAAGCAATATTTTTATTTATGCTTTGGAACAAGATGAAAATGGAACCAAGAAACTACGCTTAAGAATCTTAAGAAAATTGAAAACTAGAAATAAAAAACGAAAACGTTACCAAATAGGTCATAAATTGCTCAATTATATTAAGGTTTAAGCTAATTAACCCATGACAATATAAGTTTAGCTTAGCAGTTAAGACATTAATCCTTTTCTAGAGGTCGAATGTTCAATCCCCCATTTCATTGGTCCTTCTATCTTTTCTTCAATTTAAACTCAGGCAGCAGATAAATTTTTTTCTTTTTCTGGTACAACAAATGAGGGTGGGAGATGGAACCCATAATTTTTTAGTTGGAGATACATGTCAATTATCGCTGAGCTAGACTCGCTATGGTCAAGAGGGGAATAAATTGATATATATAATTTATATTAATAAGCATATTAATAGAGACAAAAAAAATATTAATTCAAACCTAACGCAATAGATAAAGAAAGGTTGAATTACTCACCCTCAAATATGTTCAAACTTGGGGAAAAAAATAAAAGAAAAAAGGACCAAAATACTCCAATTCCACTAACTTGCATTTTACTATAAGAAAAACAGCCCAATTCATAGGCTAAATACATAGAAACTGGATATTGGATAAAATAATTACATACATCCAAAAACAAATAACAAAAGCTCGACACCAAAGGCCTACACAAAATAATAAATAAGGATATGGTCTTTCGCAACATAAGTGCAGTGCAAAGCGAACCACCTTTAAATAAGAGTGGTAATAACCGTCACTGCATAAACTAAGTTAGATTCGAGAGTAGCTTATACATAGGAAGGTATATTACATTATTCTCATTATCTTAGTTGATCTTTTCTTGCCTTCAAAAATGAAGCCAAAGTTTTGATACGAGTGAATGAGATTGGTGGCCATTAGTTAATTTATCATGTTTAACTTTTCAAATATCATGTTCAAAATTCATCACAAATCAACCTCACGAGCCTATAACCACGTTAGAGATCTTAAAACTCTTAATTTCTTTAATTTTTCTTTATTTTTAAATTCACCCGATGATTGAAACTTCAACTTTGAGTATATGTTTTAATAAGTTAGTTATAATCAAGTTGACAATTATTAAACCATCGATCTGGCATTTCAAACAAGTTCGAAACAATTGAATTGAACAACAATTTCATCGTTACATCCTCTTTAATTAAGATAAAAGAAAATAAATTTAAAGCATCATCATAGCATACATTTAAAATGACAAATAAGTAAATAAATATAAATAAATCTACCAATTACCAAACCCCAACAGAATTGAAATCTAATGCTTTCATTTCATTTCTTCTTTGTTGTCAATTCTCTCTGTTTCTCCATATGTTCAAATAAGCTTCCATCATAAACAGCTTTCACAGTGTGCTTTTGAAGCAAACCATTGTCGTCTTTGCAAAGATTGTACAGAGTTGTCCACTCGGCGTAGCTAGCAAACCTAACAATATACATACAACAAATACCACACCAATAATTAGCTTTTCGGGTTTTCGGTTTAGTCCTTAGCGTTTAAAATGATTGGTTAAAAACATTTTTGGTCTCTGTACTTTCATTGAACTAACAATTTAGTCTTTGAACTTTAGTTTGTAACGATTTAGTTTCTATAGTTTAAACATTGTAACAATATAATTCACTCTCTATTGTAAAAAAATCTTATCAAAATTAAGTGTCGATTCTTCTTATAATATAACATTTTAGTATTTGTAATTTATAAACGTATTTGGTCCCTCGCCAACTTATTGATCTACACGTATAAGAAACCTAATCAAATCTTAACAATTTTTTTACAATATGGATTAAAACGTTACAAATTTTAAACTATAAGAACTAAATTGTAACCAATTTTAAACTACAGAATTTGAATAGTTACAAGCTAAAGTTCAAGACTAAATTGTTACTTCAATTAAAGTACAGAGACCAAAATTATTTTTTAACAAGTTCTACCTACAATTATTATTGTAAAACTTTTTTTTTTAACAAGTTCTACCTACAAGCTAAAGTTCAAGACTAAATTGTTACTTCGATGTGTAATGCGTTCATATTCGTTAATTATGTACTAATTTTTTAACATAATAATAAAAAATAAAATTTCTAAATTCAATTGTCCTAAACTTTGAAAGTTTTTTCTAGCATTAACCTTCAATTTTGTGATTAATAAGTCATTGGAATTAACCATCTATTGGTTTAATTCTTTCGTGGCACATTGACTATATTACTTGAGGGTTACCCTCGCCTGATTTCAAACAAATTCATGTATTTAGAGGCGTAATCGTCAAACTAATTGAATTTACATAGAAACCTATTAGACACAAAATTGAAAGTTTTCATGGACCCATCAAAAACCTTTTTCAAAGTACGAAGACCAAAGCAAGCACGACCGTAAAAGTTCGGGAATTTGGTAACTCTTTTAAAATTCATGGATTGAAACTATATTTTAACTCTAAAAAGAATAATTTGAGCAAGAGTTAGAGAAAAACCAACCATCCCACGTAGTTTTTGGGCTCTCTATTTCCCATAAGCAAGGCTTTAAGCTCTTCTTCTGTCAAGGCATCAGGATAAGTTTTTGCGTGGTTCTTGAAAATTTCTTCAAATTTTGAGGCAACAAACCTACGATCACGAATTTGTCAATAGTGATTTCAACGTAGGTTCAAATTAACCATTTCAGTCCTCGTTATTCTGCTATCGGTTATTTAACAAATGAGTGACGTAGTTTCAAAAACGCGTATCAACGTTATAAAGTAAATATGTCTTTGAAGCCATATAAGTTGGTTGAGGAGAGTATCGAGTACTCAAACCGTCATAACTAGCCTATGAAGTTTTGAAACATGCTTTAGATCGACACGTTGATACACATACTATTTGAAGTCATATATGCATCAATCTATATCACGCATTTAGCAACGACAAAAAAAGTTGAAAACTAAAACAAACCTTCCAATTTTTTTTTAAAACCTATAAGAAATTAAGTTACAAAAGAGATTATTGCATGTTTAAGTTGGTGAGATTTCTTTTTCTTGAAAGGGATATTAGAAATTAGATGGCTAAAAAAGTTAGTTGAAATTTTTTTGAGTACTTGGAAGCAATTAGCCGTAAAATAGAAGGACTTAAAAGCAAAGTTTGGTGCAAATAATTAATTGCTATTCAATACCTTCCCTCAGTGTCATATACACCAGAATCACTTCCATGTTTGGCAAGATGAATGTTCTTTATTTCAATTGGGAATAGGAGATTAGGAAATTTTCCCTGCAAAGTAAAGCATATTAAATCACATTAATTGTACAAATCTTTTATTTTTAAAAAAAATTATACTCAAATTTTAACCACTATATTAGTTTATTAGTCATTAAGTTGATGGATTGGTTAATCTAGACATAATTCAATTGATTAATACATTTATTTCTGATCAAAAGATCATGAGTTTGAATTCTCACCCTCACATAGTGTACTAAAAAAGTTTAATAAGTCAAGTGACTTTTATAAAAAATTGGTTAAACCACCTATATTAAAATCTTACGCTAAATCAAAATATAGAAATAAAGAAAAAGTCTATATTACTTTTTCATTAAATCTAAGCCAAGCTTCTGAAGCAAAATACGGGTTTTTGAAAAGTACTTTTAGCTCATTTTTAAATTTTAACTAAACGTTTAAAAAAATAGAAAATAAATAAAAGGCGGGAAGATAATTAAACATAAACTTAAACTAGAAAATGACCCAAAAAAAAATCAAATCAATTTAAGAAAATAAGTTCTTTTTTTCCTTTAAAAAACCAACTCTCGTATTTTAAATAAGAAGATAATTACCAAAAATAAAATATCTAGTAATAAAAAAAATCTAAATTTGGATCATGACAGTTTTGTCTCAATTCTTCTATCTATTCAATTATTTCATTTCATTCCCTATGCCAAACCTGACCAATATTCCCAAGATTTTTGTACGGTAATTCTTAAAAAAAAAATTTATTAATGTTCTTTAATTTTTATTTTTACTTTGTAAAAATATTTTGAATTTCTAAACTACAGACGAAAATTACCATCACTATATAAACATAAATTCAAAATAAAATAAATAAATAAATGAATTGTAGCTTCATCCCAATGAATTCAAAATCACATATTATTGATTAAAAATTCTAAAAAGCAGAGTCCATATTTGGTTTTGATATTTTCATATGGATAAGGCTTGACACCAAGTATATAATATAATATAAATTTGGAATTTTCAGAACTTTCTCTATCATTTAAATTTTGAAATTTTGAGATTTCCTATTTATTAATTTGAAAAAAATGGACCAGTAGGGGTGTTTAGAGGACGAAAACATATTTCAACTCATTAAAGACAATTTAACCTTGACCAAAAGGTAAGGGGGTCAAATTTCGTATCATCTATTTTTTTGTGTCACTTCAATTAGAAGTTTGTTTTTTTCATCTATTAAATTTTTATCTTCCAATTTTCATTTTTTTAATTGTTCAAAAACATTAAGATTTTTATTATTGCTTCCACGTTATCTTTATTACTTTCATTTTATCACATAAATGGTATATGGACACCACACCCATTTAATAATTGTTAGCATATCAATATCATTTAAAAATGATATATGAGTCTAACAATATCAAAACATTATTCATAAAATTGAAACTTAAATGAGAAAAAATATACGGAAGATTTCTCCTCTACGTCATCATCATATGATTCAATGATAGCGTAATAATAAGAGACCAGAGTTTTATCCCTAAGTTCAACCCATAAACAAACACGAATATAAACTTAGCTCAACTTGTTAAAGTATATATTCTTGATCATAAAGTCATACATTCGAATTCTCACCTCACATATTATTATACTCTAAAATTATGCCTTAACAGTTAAAAGATATTTCATTCTTTTGGAAATGCATATTGATTTTTTTTTTATTAAAATAAAACTTAGCGTGGGAATAAAATGGAATGCAAAGAATAAAACGATGAATAAAGGTATCCCACAAGTTTACATATCAAAATAAGATTCTCTTCTCATTTCTTTTCCAAAAAAAAAAACCCCCCGTTTTTTTTATTTCCCTAAAAATCATAAAACAGAGGAGAGAGAAAGTTACCGGTCGGGTTTTTGTACTGAGCCCAACGTTAATAAAAACCGCACTGACGGTGGACAAGAGCAGACCGGCCCCAATGGCACGGAAGCCTTTGAAGGTCTCCCAGGGGTAAACGACGCCGTCGTGGTTCCTGTCAAAGAACGCCACGTGTCTCTGCAGCACGTTCTTCTCGGCGCCTGCGTGCAACCGCGGGTGATCAGAAGAAACCGGCGGTGTGGAAAAAAGTGCAATTTCGAGAAATTCTGTGGGGGGATTTCGAATTACCTTCTTTGCTGGGGCTGGACGCGAGACTCGACTGATCGGCCATCGGAGAAGAAGAACGGATTCTGGTGATTTTGGTTTGGAATAAAACGGTGCGTTTAGGAATATTTTCAGAGTGGCTGAGGGCTGAGTTTTGGAATTATATGGACCACGAAGAAAATGGATCGACTCATCCTCCTTTTATAGACATTTTTATTTCCCCCTTCTAGAAAAATAGTCTCATTCTTTCCAAAACTTTAATATTATCTTTTAGTATTTAATAAATATTGCACGTATCGTATCATTGGAGTAAATATCAATTAATATTGAACATAAAGTTGACGTGATTAAATTTGGAACGACATGATAATTAAGATAGAAAATTGTCTAGATCGTTTACTCAATTTCATCTTAAAAATTTTATTTCTCAAGAGTTTGTTTCGTTGTGATTTATCTAATTTTACCATAAAATCTTCTCTTTAAATCGATAATTTCTTCCATATATTTTTTATTCTTTTAGATTTAATAAAGACAAACTCCATATATAAATATTTAATAATATAGATTTACATCTTACTTTAATCAACTTTGAGATTTATTTTATTTGTCATCAAACTTTCAAAATCTATTTTAATTCATAAATTGAAGGGAAAAAAACAATCATTTTAGTTCTCAAGAGTTTGTTTGTTGTGGTTTGTTTAATTTTACCATAATTTTACCATAATCTTCTCTCTTTCAAAAACTATTTTAATTCATAAATTGAAGGAAAAAAAAAGCAATCATCTTAGTTTTGTCATTATTTGACCATTATTTTTGGCAACACAAACTCAATATATTTCCATATTAGAACATTCATGAACTACAATATACAAAATTTGAAAGTTTAAGGAAAAATAAATGGAATTTAAACCAATAAAATATCGAACAAATGATTAATTTATTCTAATTCTTATAAATGATCCATTTAACTCTTCTCTCTGCAAGTATGAATGAAAACCTCAACGAATTTACAGTTTGCTTGAAAAATAAGTTTATCTTATTAAACCATATATTTCTCGTGAGGTCTTCATCGAGGTCGTTCAAGAGTAACATTAATACAATAATAAATTATAATAAATTAATACAAATTTATCTTATTTCCTAAGCAAAATTATCAAAATTACATTTCACTTGCATCAAAAGTTAAGTTTCACATCTCCCATATGTTGAATTTGTTGTAATTACTTTTGCCATATATTTGACTTTTCTATACGCTTTATTATTATACATTGAAATTTTGCACACTTTTTTTATAGGCATGCATAATTACTTGGCTTTTACCCCAAATAAATCTTACTTTGTTTATAATAATCAATGGCTCAATATTCATGCAAGTTTCAACTCAACCACACAATTTGAACCTAATTCCTTAGGTTGGCTCTTCAAATAAGTCACATAAATAATCAGATCCACGTGTCAATTCGAACATAATTGAGTGAACGATGTATCAATTGTCTTTTTTCCATGTATTTATTGTTTTTTTCTTTTAATTTAGTCTATTTCTTAAAGTATTTTTATATCAAATAAATGAGTGGAATTATACATTTGCCAAAATTAAATTTGTCATTCAACTTGACTATCAAATTAATTTTTACCTAAACTTTAGGTGTGAATAAGTGTTCAATTATTACTTTTGGATTAAATGATGATTAATTGCAACAAATTCTTTTTCTTCTTCTTCNCATTGGAATAGAATCATTAAAAATATATTTATTAAAGTTCTTGCGTACAAAATTAGTAGAGATTTGAAAAAGATGATACTAAGTCTGAATCTATTGGTTGGAGATATATGTCAATTACCGCTAAGCTATGCTCGCTTTGGCGTCGACATATAATCTTAATTTAGTTTTACTAATAAGAATGAATGTCTAAATATATATCTATATAAGGGTGAACTAAAGTAATTTGAAACTAATTTCCCTTACTTCATTCATGTATATACTAATTATAACTACTAAAACTGTGCTAAGGCATCTAATTATCTATATATATAAAACCTTATATATTAATCCTAAATCATATATAACAATGATCAAACTTTTTAATTAATTTGCAATTTTGTTTATCCTTAGCTTTAATTTTCTTTTCTTAATCATAGCTTAAAACTTTGCAATTTTTATATGGTGTGCAAAATTAATAAAATTATGGTAGTTTTTTTAATGATTTAAAAATAACCTAGTATGTTTATATATATATATATATATATATATATATATCTTATTTGAAAATTGGATTGGCATTAGACTGAGAAATTTATTGTATACTCCATTTTACAAAAAATAAATAATAGTAATAATAATAATCAAATAAAACAGATATCTTTTCTATCACTCATTTATCTTTTCATACACTTTCTCATGTTTAATATTTATTTTAATTAATTTTTTTAAGAATATAAATTCTATAAATATTTAGTGAATAACTGATTAATCGTTTAAATAATATTCTTAATGAGATCAATAATAATTTTGAAATACTAGAACTTGACTTTAAAAAAAAAGGTAGTATTGAAATACTTATAATAATACAAATTATATTTTAAGGCAAAATTCATTCTTTTACTTAATTATTTGATGTTAACTTTAAACTTTGAATTTCAAATAACTCTAAACTTAAATAAGTAGGGTAAATTAATACCTTCTACCAATTGAGTTTGTTGATGCACCAAATTTACACCAATTTTCTAGAATAGAGAAAACGATGAGACCTGCAAAATAGAATAACACTAAGTCCGGTGTGACTTTGACCCCACGGGCGGTTTGAAGTAATTAAGTATAGAGTGTAGGGTATTTAAGCATATCTTTAGGGTATGACTTCCTCCTTTATTTCTAGGAGTCCAATCCTCCCTTCTTTAGGAATCACCTCAGTTGAATCCTACTGTGCCCTAGATTTGGATTTCTGAGGCCCATATGTTTCGTAATGGGCCAAATGTCAAATCCAAGGTCGGGTCTAAGGTAGAGTCAGACTGGGCCGTGCAGGAGTCGAGAGAAGATAGACGGAGGCTTCTCGACCAATGGTTGAGAACACCTCGACACTGAGACCTTCTCGATGCTGAGGCCTAGTTGGTTTGACTATGGGTTGGCCACGATCAACCCGGGTTGGCCCGAGTCGACGGGTTTTCAGGTCTTACCTCTTTGTGCGCTTCTCCCCTGGCTTAAGCTCCCTTTCTGTCGCTTGGTCAGCTCCATTCTTCTATCCCATAATAGAGTTCGACCTAATCTTTCTATTAACATCATTATGCTATTATACCATATTAGGAAAGGTTTTTAAGTAGACTGAAACTTTATTCCAATGGATAAGATGAAGAAGATGGCTGAAAAAACCAGAAAAAAAAAACCTTTCAGAATGGTTCCTGCTACTCAAACCAAATCTACAACCTATAAAGAGAAACATTAATGTCTTACTACTATTACGTGTACGAGTCGATCGAGTTGAATCGTTAGCAGATAGGACACGTTTTGATATTACAATTTACAATATTGGTTATTTAATTATAACAAGCTCAAATTTTCAAAAGAGATGGAGCTTGTGAGGTAGTTGCCTAAAACATAAATGGCATTTAAGAACATGTCCATATTGTCCCCATCTAATTTCTAAGCAAAGCATTGACAATTTTGAGTCAAATTGAACTCTCCTTGAATTTTATCTCATATATCTAATTTTTCGGTATTGATCATTATCAATTTGTTCGTTTATAAAGACAAATCTTTTACTCTAATTCATTTCTAAATGTATATGGAAAGAAGGGAAGAGAAAACATGAAGAAAAAATTGAAATTTCTTGTTTATTGTCATAAAAAAAATTATTTGCAATTCAAATTTTCAAATTATATGTTATATTGTTTTTATTATGCATTTTAAAAGCTAAAAAGGATAAAATAATRTTTTTATCTATGTTTTGAAAGAAGAAAAGAAAAACAGAAAATGAGAACCAAAAACTTGATCTTGTTGTTTCCAAATTTTTTACATCATTTTAGAAAGGCTTCTTTAAAATAAGAAACAAAAACATAAAACAGTTACCAAACGCTTATGTTTCTAAAACATTGGCAACGAGAAACAAGAAACGAACTAATATTTTTTAAATTGCTTTTGAAATCAATGCTTTTAAAGAATTAAAACATATTTTCAAGGGCTATATTAGGACTCTAATAACCTCTTGTTTGTTAAAGACTTATTCGTTTACTTTCTAAAATATATTCTCAGTTGAGTTCATGGTGTTAGAAATCTCGTTATAATTAACTCAAGACCAAGTAAATAAATCATCTTTGATGTTGGATTTAAAAATTCCATTAACTTCATTTTACCCTTTCTATAAAAAAGGTAAATGTATTTCTACAAAAAAAAAAAAAAATCATGAAATTTAAAAAAATTAATTAACAAATAAGCATTTTACTCTTCAAATAAGTTAAAAATTCTTATTATTAATGTCATGTTTATAAATTAATGATATTTGGTTGATATTTTCCATCTTTCATCAATTCTATAATGATGTAACAGAAATATCAATTCATCCCTTATGTTTGTAGAAATGTCAACATGTCACAGCTCTTTCGTCCGCCGCACCCATTTGTATTGCTACAATAATTATGTTGACTGTGAGCTCCCATATATGGTCTTACAACTTTGTGGAGACATGTGTTTTTTTGTTCACAGTCACTCGGGCGATCAGGACCCTAGTTTTATTGCGAGCCAAATACTTCAACAGATCCTATAAAGAGACCGGCTTATGGGATCAAATCAATGCGTTCGAAGAAGAAATATTGGAATATCAATCTCTCGACCGGTTTAACCAGAAAAAAACCTAGAAAAGAGGAAGAGTCACTAAGATGCCTTGCCATAATCGAAAGGATGTTTATAGCCGCGACTGTTGTCATAGTTTAACAATGGCGTAGCTTGATAATTTTCACTACTTGTCCAGGGTTGAGCCTTGGGATTTGACGGCGGGGTAACTTTTTCTATACTCATTAGTCGACAAAATGGGCCGCTGCGAGATGAAAATGGCAGACTGAAGCGGAATATTTTAGTTTAATAACATATATTAGATATTTTTTTGTTTTTAATTTAAAGATTTATTAGACGTTTTTCGAAGTTTAGAAATATATGAAATATAACATTGAATTTCTTATAAAAGTTTATAAGTTCACCTCAACATTGAAAACTTATGCTTTAGAGTTTAGAAACGTATTAGAAGTTTTACCGATAAAACTTGTG